CTGGCTCAAGCTCGCACACACTTTTAGCAGTTGAACCGCACCCACGACTCGTCGAACACCGCCACCCGGGTTCACGATCCGAAAAAATCATGACCATGGTGTGAATCCCTTCCAGCGCCCAAGCCAAGCTCGTTAGCACGAAATGTCTCAATTGCCACCACCCAAACTCGCCGCAGTATTTTTCCAACATTTGATCCATCGTTACTTTCTTCGGTTTTGAATATCCATCCGCCGCCGGCGGGATGAGCGGTGACCGGAGGTCTCCACCATCTTGTTGATTTGTTGATAAAGCTGATGATTTTGACATTTTTTGTTGATGATTTTTTTCTTTTCTCGCCAGGGATTACCGATGAGGCTGGCGGCTATATATAGGATATTCTTCAGTTCCAGAGTTGGTGGTGGGAAACAATAAGAATAGGAGCCCTCTTTTTTTATAGTGTTGTAATAAACTTTGGATTTCGCAATTTATGACTATTAGATGTTTTGTGGAAAAAGTGCTTGTTTATTTTTTAAGAACTGGCTTATTTAATTTTGGTTGATAACGATAGAATTATTTTATTTAAAACAAATTAAGTTAAGGCTTAAAAAAAGATCTATAAGTTTAAAAAACAATACATTTGTTATATTGACCACTTTTTTATTGCGTTGCGTATCAAATTTGGCACTCTTGATCTTAACATGTTGCTTTAGAAATATTATTTTTCATATTTACAATATATAAGTGGGCTTATAGTTTAAAGAATCGCAAATTATAATTTTTTTATGTTTCAAAATCATGTTATATACACAATTTCTTATAAAAGCTTTTATTTTAACAAAAGCCTTTTCAGAAAAAAGCTGCGCAAAATCACCTTGGATACGCATATATCTTACCATTGATTTAGGTAATTTGTTTGAATCTTTCTTTTTATTGCGAAACTGATTCACATAAATAGAAAACTACAAAATCACCTTGGATACGCATCTAACCATTGATTTAGGTTACTTATTTGAATCGTTCTTTTTATTTTATTGCAGAAGTGATTTATATAAAATAGAAAACTACTTTCCTTTTAAGGGTAATAACGTACTGGCAAAGCGGGAAAACCATTAGTTCCAACTTCGTAGACTGAAGAAAAAATAATAGATAGTAATATGTCTATCAAATAAGGAGCACACACTTTACAATATTTTAACCGGTTAGGATTGTATAAGACATACTCTTTAATATTTAAAAGAGCAATATGTCATTTAAAGAAAGTAAAAAATAAGCAATGGTAGGAAACCAGAGTTTTTCTGTCATTATTGCTTTATAAATTTATTTGCAAGCTTGACACGGTCTGATTGATTACAAACCATTTGTTTTTGTGGTTTGAAAGAATTAATCTTTGCTTTATCTTTTTTTTTTTTTTTTTAAATATGGATGTTCAATTTTGTTTAGGGAAAATTAGCTTTAAGTATTTTTTGGCAGAAATGATTTTATGTTATTTTTTGAAAAAAAATGAACAATTACTAACAGCTACTCCTAGTAATTTAAGATGTCATTATATTTTAAATAAATTTTCATAAAATGCCCGGAAAAAAAAAAAAAGAGGCGCGCCATATTACAATTCTAATAAAGGTGAAAACTCTTTTTCAACTATTACGGGGTCACTTGCTCAAAAATATTTTTCCCTCCTTCTCGCCGTAAATTTGGATTTAATTGTGCTCTAATTTGAGTATCAAATTGAGAAAACTACGTCATATACCTACAAAACAATAAAAAAAATTACCCGTCTTTACCCATTTTAAAAATAATTAGAAAAACTATTTACCCTATAGAATCATATTACCCACCTGCTTCAATGATCAATCCCCTAAATCATGAAAAGCCTCTCTCTCCTTTATTACACAATCCTAACTTCTCCAAATCTCTTTCTTCTTCTTATTCATATGTAGCAGGGGTAATTTAGGGGAATGGAATCATGATTGTCGATGGTTACGCGGAAACTTATGATTTAAATCGGAGGCCTGCATATCGTGTTTGAAATCATATTGGTGTTAAAATTTAGTTGTAACCATCATTGTAAAAATTATTCTCAAATTGAAGTATTTCGGTAGAGATTTAATTTGATTTGAATAAAAAATTACAGCTAAAAGCTTGAAGAACACAAATTAATTCTTGATGATTTATTGATGTTTGAATTAATTTTTGACTGGATTTTGTTCGGATTATTGTTTGAAAGTTGTGGTTAAATTTCAGTTCATTTGAAGTTGATTTTTGAATTTTAACTTGAAATTGAATTGAACTAGCAAAGAAGAAGAATTTATACTGTATGCCGAAATGTTATATTATATATTGTATTGATATACAATAATTAATTCAAGCGTATATAATTTATTATAACAGTATACTACTAATTTTGTTGAAGTAATGAACCAATCCTCTGTATAAAAAAAAATACTATATCCATTTTGGTATATAATATTTTATTCAATAGTGTATAATTGATTGCGTTGAATTGGCGAAGAAGAATTTGTATTGTATACCAAAATGATATACTATATATCATTTTGGTATACTATATATTATTTTGGTAGATAGTTCATTCCAATGATATACTATTACAGTATACTATATAATGTAACAATATACTATTATAATTTGGTACTTTTAGAATTTTCTGAAATTTTTATTGAGTTCTTTTTCAATTTTCAATGGAGTTCTCATGCTTTTTCAATTTTTTTCTTAAATTAAAATATTTAGTTTGAAATATTTGATTGGAGGTTTGTGGCTAAAGTTTGAATCAATTTGGTGGAAATTTTAGAGTAGATTTTTAAAATTTGGATTGAAATTGAGTTAAACTAGCAAAGAAGATAGATTTGTACTGTATACCAAAATGTTATATTGTATATCGTATTGGTATACAATAATTAATTCAAGAGTATATAATTAATTATACTACTATAATTTTTGAAGGAATGAACCAATCCTCTATATATAAAAAGTATACTATATACCATTTTGATATATAATATTTAATTTAATAGTGTATTATTTATCGCGTTGAACTGGCGAAGAAAAATTTATACTGTATACCAAAATGATATACTATATACTATATACTATTTTGGTATACAGTTCATTACAATGATATACCGTTTCAGTATAATATATAATGTAACAGTATACTATTACAATTTGGTCCTTTTAGACTTTTCTGAAATTTTGATTGAGTTATTTTTTAATTTTCAACGGAATTCTCATGTTTTTTTAATTTTTTTCTTAAACCAAAATATTTAGTTTGAAATATTTGATTGGAGGTTTGTGGCTAAAGTTTGAGTCAATTTAGTGGAGATTTTAGAGTAGATTTTTAAAATTTGGATTGAAATTGAGTTAAACTAGCAAAAAAGATAGATTTGTATTGTATACCAAAATGTTATATAGTATATCATATTAGTATACAATAATTAATTCAAGAGTATATAATTAATTATACTACTATAATTTTTGAAGGAATGAACCAATCCTTTATATAAAAAAATAATATACTATATACCATTTTGGTATATAATATTTTATTTAATAGTGTATAATTGATTGCGTTGAAGCGAAGAAGAATTTGTATTGTATACTAAAATGATATACTATATACCATTTTGGTATACAGTTCATTTCAATAATATACTATTACAGTGTACTATATAATGTAACAGTATACTATTATAATTTGGTCCTTTTAGAAATTTTTGAAATTTTTATTGAGTTCTTTCTTAACTTTTCAGCAGCGTTTTCATGTATGTTTTTGGTCTTTTTTCTTAAACCAAAATATTTAGTTTGAAATATTTGATTGGTGGTTTGTGGCTAAAGTTTGGGTCAATTTGATGAAAATTCTCGAGTAGATTTTTGAAATTTAAGTTGAAATTGAGTTGAACTAGCGAAGAAGACCAATTTGTACTATATACCAAAATAACATAATTTATACCATTTTGGTATATAATATTTAATTCAACAGTGTATAATTTATTGCATAGTATACTATTACAGTATATGATATAATGTAAAAATACAGTTAAATTTGATATTTTTAAAATTTTTCAAAAATATTTAATGATTCATATTTCAATTTTCTAACAGAATTTTCGATAAAATATACCCTGCCAGTATATGATATATAGCATGTGGGTATCATACTATACTGTAATAATATACTTCAACTGCTACTAATATATTATTTTTGATATACTGTATGCTAAAGTAAGTTATTTTCTAATAATTAATATATAAAATATACAAATAAATAAAAAGTACAAAAATAAATGAGCCAAAAATGTGTGCAGAATTAGATTATGAAAAAAGTGATTTGAAATAATAATAAATAAAATTTAAAAAAAATGAAAGCAAAAAAGAGAAGAGACAATAGTTATAATGTATATGATGTTCTAATAATTGAATTAAAAACAAAATAAGAAAAACAGACAAAATGTATATTATAAGAGTTATATTAAAAGAAATATGAAAAAATATGAAACAATATTTACTATATCAGTTATCTTTTCTTATTGTATAAACAAAGAAGAAATAAAAAAGAGCAAAAAAAATAAATGAAATTAGATTATGAAGAGATAAAATAAAAGAAAAAAAAAACGAGTTAAATAAAATTAGAAAAGGAACAAAAAATAAAGAAAATAAATAAAAGAAAAAAATAAAAATAAAAAAATAAAGAAGGAGCGAAAATTGAGTGTGAAATTAAATTATGGTAAAAATAATAATGTGATTTTGGCAAAAAAAATAAATGACGAAAAAGGAGAAAAAAGAAAAAATAAATAAGAAGAAAACTAAAAAAAAGGAGAAGGAGAAAAGAAATAAAAGGAAAAAGAAAAGAAGTAGAGAAATAAAAAACAAAAAGATAAAAAAAAGAAAATTACCCACAAAAGTTGTCATGGATAGGAAAGGTAGTTAGTTTGATAGGTAGAAAAGTAAATGAATAAATAATGATAAATAATTTTATTTTTGTGAGTAATTATGTCATTTACCCTATCAAATACCGGATGAAAAACATGGGCTGACATATATAGGTTCAAGGGAGCTCGGATGAATTCACTTCGATTAAAAATTACACTATTTATACGTGAAAATTATTTTTCAAGGAAAAAAAACGGAAGAAACAAGTAACAAGTGAATCCACTTGACAGAAAGCGAAGTACGGTCCAGTGGTCACGTGGATAAGTGGATTCAACAGGAGTGAACGGATTGTAGTTTGAATCTAACTCCTAATTTCTTAACGTTACATTATTATTTATTTATTTTTACCTTTTCAAAAAATGGGTAAAATTCGCTCCTCCTATTGTGTACATTCAAACCCAGGCCGCCTCCACTTTGCTCTGCAAAACCACGTTTACCAGTTACCCCACTTACAACATTTGCTTTTGAAAACTAAGATAATTATATTACTTAAATTATAAATTTATCAAAAATTGCTCATCAAAATAAT